GGGGGAGGGGGGCGAGCTGAGCCTTGCGCCCGCCGCCTCCCGCCAGGCCTGTCCGGATTAAACCTCCTGGGGGGTGCGAGTGTGTGTGTCTTGTTTTCTCTATTCCCCCCGAAAGTCTTCCGAAACATCTCTTTATTTAGAGTTATTCAGTGGTTTGGAGACAACATATCCCTCTGTGTTATTGCAGGCTGATTTTCTGGGTGGAGGCAGTTTGGTTTTTGAGGAAAGAAATCCCAGGTAGATTCTCTCTGTAATAATGAGACTAGGACTCACCTGTGTTTTCACCTGCTTTTAACAACTCATTACTGAATCTTATCAATGGCATTATTATGCCTGTTTTTATCAGACTAAAAAGTTTTCAACAGTTCTCTTGATGAAACTGCCCTGTTAATTGTTTGTGATGTGCTGGCTTCATCCTGATTAATCATTTCCTTCATTCTTTTGGCCTTGTTTCAGAATAGAGTTTATACTTAGAGGCATCGTAAAGGTCTTGTCCATTGTGTCACCTGCTAATTGGAGGTTTCATTGAGCGTTAGTAACGTGGTTGCCTAAATTAACCCAAGAGCATTCAGAAGCTGCAGTAGGTGCTTATGCTGGAGAGGGCTCTTGGTAGCACTTCTGCAAACTTGGGGGCTCGTGATTTGTCTGTCTGGAAGAGTAGACATGAGGAATCAAGAATTTAGCCTTAACACAGGGCTCGTGGTGAAACTTGAACTGTGTGTGTGCTTGGGGATGTGTGTGCAATTTAAACTAGAATTCCCCAAAGTTTAGAGAGAATTCAAACACAAGTTCTTTGTTTTGCACTAGCTGCAGGTAACTTGCCTACCAGAATTAATCTTTGGATTGCTTTGGAATAGCGTTTGTGCTGTTGAATTATAAAATAGCTTAACTGTATATATCAAAATGTCTAAATCTTGCCCTGTTAGTATTAGCTAAAAGATTATTCCTGCAGTAGGAAAAAATTCTGTTTGTGTTTATTTTCTCTGGTTATTCTATTTGTAACATCATTATTGGGAACATCAGTAATGTGAAAATAGTATCCCTTTCCAATGAAGGTGTCATTCACACCTAAAAATAGTTCTGCTTGCTCATTTTGCTGTCACAAACCTATGCATTTTCACTACATCACCCATCTGGTGCCATGCTTATTCCATCAAGAAGAGATTCAAATGTCAACCTGACAGAAGACCAATACAGAAAATTCCTGGATGCTGTTTGTGGTAGGTGTCAGGAACCTTTGTGAAGTGATGAGGATTTTATAGCTGGTTAATGCTGTGGCTGACTAGCAACTCTTGATTGAAATGCCCTGGAGGAAGAGGGATGAGTGAAAAAGCAGTATGTGTTCAGAAATATTCTACATAGATGGAGGAACTTTGTTGTTTTTCTGTAGAATGTCTGTTAAATGTTTGATGTTTCAGTTTATCTTGGCTTTACTAGCTTCTCTTTTTCTGTCAATATCTGTTAGGAGCTTGTACGTCAAGGAGAGGCACTGAAGCGCACAGAGCAGATGGTAGATAAAATGGACCAGGACTTGAAGACTAGTCAAAGGCACATAAATAGCATTAAGAGTGTTTGGGGGGGCTTGGTAAACTACTTCAAAGCCAAACCTCCAGAGAGCAAGCCAGAGCAGAATGGAACCCCTGAATATTATGCTAACAGTAGGTAAGTAACATAAACATTTTACTTGGGAATTATCTCCCACAGCATTTCTGAAATGTCACCAGAAAATCAGAACTTAAAAGATATGATTCTGTCAAGTAAAGTCCCGAGATGGTGTCTAGCTCCCTTTTTCTTTTAACTCTGAGAAAAATATTTTTACTTTTATATTTGTAGTGGCAAGAATAACTGTGTATTTATGGGGAATTATTTCAAACAATTACACAAAATTACACAAGTAATTCTTCAGTCTCCTGAATTACTGTGCTTACTTCAGTCTTACCAGGCAATCATGATTTGTAGCATTAACATGTTTCCAGTTAAATATTATGTGTATTTCTCTAGCTTCTATTAAAAGCTGAAAATAAAGATAAATTGCTGTTAAATTAATGTGTCTTACAGTACTTGTCTGTCTTAACTGAGAAACTTCTGTAAAACCTGGCAGTGCTGCATGGATTGATTTCCTTCTTCCCTCCACTAGAGGAAAGGAACAGGTTGCCTCCAAGATAGAAGATACAGTTCTGGTTCTGATATAAAAGTTTCTATGTGCTATTTTCATCACTAAAGCGACCAGTTCTGCTTTCATTGATGACAAATGCCAATAGTTAATTTTAAAGGAATGGTTTAGCTCAGGTCAAACAAATTTCATCTTATTTTATAAATCTGATACCAGTTCTTGTTTAACAGATTCGGAATGAGTCCTGTGGTCCATAGGAATATTTTCTTTTTATTCTCTTTATTACTAGATTAAAAGAAGCAATGATGTCTAGCAAAGAACAAGAGTCAAAATACCAAGAAACTCATCCAAATTTAAGGAAGCTGGATAATTTAGGTTTGTCAACTTTGTTTTACACTGAATGTCTATCATTGTGGGGCAAACTTGTGCCATTGGTGAAGGCAGAGACCCTTCAGCCTGCCCAACTGCTGACTTGCGTTGCTGCCTAACATCTGGAGATTTGTATCCCAGCCTTCATGGCTGTGAATTCTAGGGAATTGTTTCCCCTAAAGCTCATTCTAGTCATAGTGAAGTCGTGAAACTTTTACTTTGACATAGATTTTACTTAGCCCTTCCTGTGGGGGATTTATGCTATATCCACTAAAGACTTTAAAAGCATCCAGTGCTTGTATTTGCACAGAGAAGACTATAGTCAAGAATCCACACAATGTGCAGGCACATTGTCCTGGGTTTGCCAGAATGTTAACTTCCACATTCAGAGGTTCTCCTTTTTAACCATTATTTGTTACAGTTTTCAAATATGTTTTCCTTGTTATTTCAATATAACCCTTCATACAGGAGTCATGGAAGTGCAGAGGTTTTTGGTCTTGTTCCCCATTCTCATAATGTGTTAACTTCTGTAGTGACTTTCATGTACAAAAAAACTATTCCTTTCTTTAAGTGAGGTTCAATTACTTGTTAAAGAGTGAGAAGGCAGTAGGGTATCTTTATAGTTGTAGTTCTGTAAATAAAGATGCTTTTTGGAAACACTGATGTCACTTCCACTCCCTGTAATATTACAAGTCTGTACAGTAGAGGGCACAAATAACTCTCTGGTGACTTGACCTGGGGGAACATTTCACTGCTGGTAGAGGTTACCAACCTATGTGTTTTGTTGGTGGGGTGGCTGTTTGTTTGTTTGTTTTTTTCTTTTTTCTCTGACCTACCTAGTAGAATTACAAAAATCATCCCAGAAGAGAATAAGTGTAGCTTAATAATGGTTCATCTTGAGGGGTGCCCTATAGTGGTGTTGGGTTACTTTTGATACTCCTCTTAGCAGGTTATGTGATTACATGGCAGCTGTGGTCAGACTAATTTTTAATAGCCCTTCTAAAACGTTAAAGCCTCTTTTTGCTAGCTTTTTTATTATATAATATTCTGTATTTTGTACTCATAACAGACAGTGATTTCGACAAAGCAGATTTAGTTTCTTCAGTGCAAAGGGATTCCTATCCAAAGAACCAACACCTGCGAGCTTACCACCAGAAAATTGATAACAACTTAGGTGAGTGAGAAAATTGAAGCTGTTTGATGTAATACACTTTTCAGTACTTGGTTCTTAAGCCAGAGAAAATTACTAAGTAATATATTGCTAACAAACACTTCTTTGTTTAGTTCACATGTGATATTTGATAATATAAAACAAAAAAATAATTTGCTTGTATTCTGCATTTCAAAACTATGTGGCAGAATTCAGAGTTTGATTGAAATCTACATTATTTGAATGGTAGAATGCTGAGGGTTGTCATGTGGGTCAACTACTTGCAAATATTAATAACAGATCTGAGTTAGAAAATGCATTTCACACAAAATCAGCTGGAAACAAACTGGCTAGGAAGCCTGGAATAGTATAAATCTGCTGCAGAAACTAATACATGATTGGCGTTAGTACTTCAACTCTTCTGCAACATGCTTGTGCTTTAGAAATGGTTAGATTTTGAACTGTCCCTGAGCAAAGAGACCAGGGGAAGAAAACACACACTCAAAGCATGAGTCCCCTTAGATCATACATTGACAATAAGAAAAACTCCCTTACCAAATGTGAATGTACTAACAAAATCTCTGTAATTTCAAAGAGGAGATGGTGCTGAAGTATCCCAAAACACTTGCATTCAGGATATGAAAATGTTTATTTGATTCATCCTGTAAGTTGACTGGAATATCACTGGGATAAGAAGGCTTATCCATCCATTCTGAAAAATCTTTTTAAGCAGGTACTGGTAATATTAATAACGAAATACTGCTTCAAATTGACATCCAGATTGTACCAGTATGGATATTTACTACCTCTTTTTCTAAAGCTTACCACTTAAATCTGAAGATGCCTTTGGCTAACTGATACTTAGATATTAAAATGTACATCAGTTATGACCCAAAGAATTTACAACTGTATGCAGCTTTTGAAATAAACATGTTTTGCAGAAAATAGAAGAATCGAAAGGCACTGAATATTTAATTTATGAATTTGCTGCATTTCTTTTATTACTTCCCAAAACCATTCAGCTGACTTTCTTTTCCTTTGTTCTGCAGCATATATACAAAGTGCCTCTTTGCTTACATGTATCACTGTTTAGCTGACCTAGAAAGAAGAGATTGGAAAGAAATCAGAAAGGAATAGATCAAAGAGAAATAGTCAAGCATGAGAGTCAGCGGAAGCATGTTTCTTCTCCCAAGCTGTGCAAAACTTACTAGCCTCAGAAGCATTTATACCAATCAGCCTTGCACTAAAATGATTTCCTTGTAGCTAGATTAGAAAATCTGAAAATGGGCTTTTTCCATCTATGTTAAATAACTGACTGCTTAAGTCTTCAGTGTATTGCCCATGTCTCTGCATGAAGTTTAAGGAAAAACAATTGAGACAATGAGCATATTGCATATACTGAGCTGAGAAATAATGTACCTAATTTTATATAAAATACATTTTTTAAAATAAGTAAAAACTGCATTACAGGGTATGTCACTTAAGATCCAGTTCAGTTTTAAGCATTTGTACTTAACTTGTAATGGAAGAAGAAGGAAGCAATTATTTCTGGTAGTAATGGGATAAAACTGTTAAAATACTGGTGCTTCCACTATTGAAGAACACTCCGACTTGAGCAGTTGTAACTAACATTTTCTAACCCAGGGGTCTGAAGAAGAAGGAATCCTGATAGTGTCCATTTAAACAACATGCTTTATATTGCTTTGATTCCTTATGGTCCCCTCTCTTTGTTGACAGATGAGATGTCTTCTGGGTTGAGTCGTCTGAAAAACCTAGCCCTTGGTCTGCAGACAGAAATAGATGAGCAAGATGATATGCTTGATCGGCTAACAAAAAAAGTAGAGACACTGGACGTCAATATTAAAAGCACTGATAAAAAAGTCCGACAACTGTAAAAGCTTTTAGAAATTTTTTTGTCCAGCGTCAGTTCTTCTTGGATGTCTTAGCTCAACCAATCTCTTAAAAAAATCTTGGACAGTATCTGTTTCTCTTTTTTCTGATACATTATTGATTTTTTTGTCATTAAAATTGCATAGTCTTAAGTGCAGCATAATACCTTAAATTTCTTCTTAATATACGTGGGAAGAGTGCATGTTGAGTAAAATCTCTCAGCACTTGGTAAATGCTTTTGTGCTGGATACCCTGCTCAATTGTATAACTGTGTCATGTGCATGGAGGAATTTGCAATCTACAAAGCTTCAGTGTCCTTGGCCTGGGAGCTGTCATGAGAAAAGTAACTGCATTTTGCCTCTGTTTTGGGGAGGGGGCAGGGGGAACAGAATGTGCTTCTTTGTTCAGAACAAATGTTGCTAATTCTGTTTACCTACAGCTATTTTAAATTCTGAAAAAATGCCGATATCCAGCTGTAAAAATAATTCGAAGTGACTGTTCTCTGGCATTTCTGAGGCTTAAGGAACGAACTGTTCTGTGGAAGTTGTAAAATATCAGGGGTGTCATGCAGTAATGATAATATTCTGTGTGTGTTCCCTTTCCTAAGATGAATTCTGCCAAATGGTAGATTCACAATCTGTAGTTTTTATGTTTGGGTCACTAAATGCTATCACCTTTACAGTATTTTCAGTAAAGATCTCTATGGGTATCTTACAGTCTGAGAGAAATGTTGGTTGACACACATAAGTTTGGATAACAAATGAGGACTTAAACATATGTGCTCTTAAAGATTCTTTTGTAGAACTTGTCAGCATCTGCTTTTTTATTTTCTGTTCTTCCTCAGCTTATTCAGTTAGGTGGTTACTGGAAAAATAGATTCCATTTTAGAAATGGAGAGTTGGTCTGATACTGCACAAACAGATCATAGGAGATTATTCTTTAAAATCTATTTAAAATGTGATTAGGGATTGAGCAGATGCTGTGTTTTCCTAGGTAATGTGACTGTTTTTAAGAATTACAATTCTGCTCCAGCCTGAGTACGTGACAATGAGAACTTGCTGTCTGTCTTGAAAACAAGTTAAGTTATTTCAGTTTGGAGAGGCCAAGGGACCTGTGTCAGTATTGCAACACCTGCTATCACAAATGATAATGAGTGGCTAAGAGGAGAGAGATTTTCCTGAGCTGGTGCCACATTATCTTGTGAATTAAAGGGCGACCTTGGTGTTCAGGGCTATCAAGCTTGTATCCTTCATGAACATCACATGCACACCCTCCCTTTTCCCTTTTTTCAAGGGATTTGTTGCCTTGAGCTCACTTGCTACAAAGTGCACCCCACTGGTAAGGAGATAAAAGAAATGTTGAGCCTTTCTTGTTTTACTGCGTCTTATGAAAGTTCACCTGAACAAAAATAAATAGCTAAAAAAGCTACAGTTCTTGGACATGGTATTGTGGAAAAAAATATTATTCCTGGGATTACTAGCAAAGTAGAGTTGTGAATTTATTTTAAGGTGAGCCTCTGTTTCACCTTATGTTACTGATGTCATTGATTTCAGTCTCTTAAGAAAATGTGTTTTGCAGGGACATAAAACTTTGAGCTACTGAGTATGTTTAATTTCTTTTTAATTTTCACTTTGTGTCATTTATGCTTACTTGGAACCATAAAAAACCTTATTGATATCAATGTATCATCTAACTTTTTGGATGTATACCATGATTAATTCTCTCTTACTCTGTTAGAGTATTTATGAATGATTTGATGTCTCAAGATGGTTGTTAACATTTATTTAGTAAATGATACAATCATTAGTTTTGAAAATGTTAAGTACCTCACTGAAAGAGTCATACCTGTTTCAGTTTCTTGTTTGACTTTCTCCCTTTAATAAAAAGGGTGAAAAGACTTGTATTTTTTCCTATCCCAACGCTGGTTAACAGAAACGCTTACATCTTAGAAGGGGTGTATAAATTCTCTCCAGAACAGAGAATACCAAAAATTGCTGGTAAATAATAATACTCATTTTATTGTGAAATCTGCCTTCACCTGAATGGAACTATTTCACAACTAAATTTTTGGTAACTATGATGTATGCTGAGGCTTTCTCCACTAAGTTATGGCTAATGGAGGAAAAGATGTAGCTGGAAGGTCTGATTGTGTTATGTGTAATAAGAAAAGTAAAGCTTGAATCCAAGCAAAATTTTTTTGTGGATTTAAGAGTGAAGTATGTAGTCTTTCTGATAGAAGCTATTCCTTTTTTTTTTTTTTTTTTTTTTTTTTTTAGTATAAATTATTTAATGAAACAAACCCGGTTTTGGTCAACTGTTTAGTTGTATTAGCCTTATGAAACATTTACGGCATCTTGGAGATCTCTGATGACCTTAAAAACACAAGCAGGGAAGTGGAATAAAAAATTAAACTCCTATTTCTGCTTTAAGAACATCATTATTCAAGCAGCCTAGAAAACCAGGATCTCAGCCCTGTGGAAGTTATACAGAGGTCTAACTTCTCATCTCTTCTAACGATCCCATTCACTGTCTCAGTAATGTATGTCTTTGCTTAGGCTGTATTTACTATTTTTGTTTTGGTTTTAATGGCCTTGTTTTAAAGGATTATTTCCCACATTGGATTTCTTTTGTGGGGGAAAAAAGATTGTGCATGGGTATAAATGAATTCCTGCTACAAACTGAATTCCTTTTCTCAGCTTTGTTTCAGATCTTTATGCTGATAAAGAACTTAAGTTTGACATAAGACAATGCTATTTTGTAATAGTGATGATTTTTTTTTCTCATTTGAATAACTGCATCCTGCAGAAAGGGGAAATTTAAAGGAGAAAAAAAAAGACATTTGCCTTTCCAGGAAATGTCATTTTGTATGTGTTATGAAGGACTTAATTCAGAAGCTTTTCTTACTTTTTCTTGAGATAGTTTTAATTCTTGGATGTTGTTGAAAATCTTACCTTGTATAAGAGTATAGGACTTTCAGAAGAAATTTAATTTATACTAAGCACTAACTTGATAAGTTAAATGATTTTGCCTAAATAGTCATGTTGGCATAGAAACTGGTGTCCTTGCAGCAAAATAGCTCTGATTAACTTTATTCTTACTGGCTTGAGTAGAAGTTTACTACTGAGGACAGAAAAGATAGCAAAAAACCCAAATAGTTGTCATTTCTATAAGAGATGATTTTCTTGTTTCTCAAAGAGTTTGCTAATAAATTTTAGAAGAGGTTTTAAACACCAGGAAGTAACATACCCTTTGTAACATCAGATAAAAGAAGACATCCTCTAAAAACAGCAGGGGAAAAAAAAGAAGTGGGAATAACCAGTATCTGACCACTAGATTCATAGGTGTATTTAATTTTTAAATTTCCTGAGCGTTGGCTTACTATGACATGATGCATAACTGAATTTTAGTCCGTACTACACAGATTTGTTGCTGTGGTGAACTCTGTTGGCCTATGGAAATTGTTGGGACACTGTATGATGTTGGGTTGTTCTTTTAATGTGTGAAATCTATCTGAAATATTTTGCTGCCTAGTAGTTTGTGTAAAGTGATGTCACTTGTTAAATAGTGAAATAGAAAATACTTTCCAACCACTTTGCCTTCTGAACAAATATTTTCTGTAGGCATTTTTACAAGCGTAACATCATATGGAGGATATGTGTTAATTTTGACTTTGAAATATATGGATCTTAATTTTCAAAATTACAGGTAGCAATTATTTCTGTCTGTGGCTTTTTTGAATAGTACTTTAATTCTGTGCCACCCAGGTATGACACTTTTTATACCAGTCAAACCGAAATCTTTTAATTAAATGCTAAACTCTACTGTAGTTCAGCAATTTAGGAGATTGAACTAAATGAGTGTTGAATCGTAAGATGGTCAATAAAGGTGCTTATTGTTAATGGAGAGTTTTTGCATTTATTTCTCAAAATTCTTTGACTACAAATTCATTGACACTTCTTTGCTATGATCTGTTAGAATGCTGGACCTACTTTAAGTTTGTGCCAGAATGGAAATAAGTTTGCAGGTGGTGGGTATTGATTTCTGAGAAAAAAAGAGGGTGTTTACATTTCTACTTGACTCTCCAGTAGATTCTTTTAGATCTGGAAAGAGGAATGCAAACAGGCATTTATTTGCAAAACTTGTGATGATAAAATAATTCAAGATGTTGCTTGAAAAGTAATCTTGCCATAGTGCTTGGTATTACTAGGAACAATCTAAACTGGATGTATGCATGAATAAGGCAAGTGGAATAGGAGTAAGGCCAAAAAAAATGATCACCCGCTTGAAAACTTAAAACCAACAGGTATGTAATATTCCTGTGTGGTCGCAGATTTGGTGATGGCAGAAAATTTCAGAATGTCCTGACTTTCAGTTTGGTTCTTATCTGTATATGAAGGGAAGAACTTCTCAAAATTTTTTTGTAGTGGATTTTATTTTGTTTGATACCATAAAGCAGAGATGCAGAAGTGGTAGTACAAAAGCTCTAGAAAGGGAAAGTCAATATGCTAAAGAGATTGACAGGTTTTTTAAAATCCAGATAACTTGGTTTTGCTGCCTTTGTACTAAAAGTTCTTCAACAAAAGGGAATTGAGAGCTCTTCCATCCATGTACTCTGTTGCATATAGAAAAATCAAAATAATGCACAGAGCACAGTGAAGAAGGTAGAGAATGGAGCGGTGCAGTGGATTCTGGATCTCTGCCGGGAATAATATTAGCTTGCTCTGCTTGCAGGGAGAATCAGTTTCTGAATCTCTCAGAAGAGAGAGTATCTCACACAAATCTGTTTATGGCTGGTCAGGCATTTCAACCCTTCCATTTTCTCAAGGACTTTCTTACAACACAGTCCCTGCCTTTCTGGAGAACAAGAGGGAAGGGGAGGTAAAAGATGCTCATGGATGTAAAAGCAGGCAGAGCAGGTGCTGTTGGAATGAACTCATGCTTCTGCTTCTGCCTGCCTCTCCCCCTTTTTCCTGCTTCTGAACAGAGGTTTGGTTTTGGGAGGGAGTTTTACAACTTTCATTTAATTTTAGTAGGTGGTTCATTTGTTTGTTTTCTTCCACATAAATGTTATATATTCCCAAAATGGGAAAATATGAAGATCTGCATTAGGGCCAGCACTCAAGGCTTGGTAAGGCTCACTTGAAAGAAAGCAGGGAGGTGCCCCCAGAATAAACAGACTGCCAAATCAGGCAGATCCCTGAATGCCAGGCAGGGTTTTCTAAATACAGTGACTTTGGAGCCCTGCCTCAGCTATAAAAAGTCTAGATGGATTGTGACTTTGCTGTTGGTGAGGTAGAACCTTCTAGAAAATGGGCTTCCAGCTCTAGCTGTGGATACTTTTGGAAAACAATGGATCTCCTTGGCATCTTCATTCTAGATGATCCTTCTTTTACCTCCACATTAATTGTAAATCTGCTCTTTCTGTTAATGGATAGTAGGATTTGCCAATGGTGGGCTCTGCCTGCAGATCAGTACTCTGAAAAGCCACTGGAATTTCTGTCACTTGGAAGAAGAAACCCTTGTCCTGCTCCAGTGTGTCTCACAGCCTTCCAGGGTCAGCTAGGACAGCAAGACTATGAAGTGTGCCACCAAAGCTATGCTCTTTGTATTAACCCTTCAGTGTAGAAAGAAAACAATACAGCTTGGAATGTGTATGTTGGGTGCTGACAGCTCTAGAGAGTGGGAGAGACTGCCCAAAAAAGTTTATAATTCAAGGACAGGCATGTTACAGCTGTTGGAAAAAAATATACAGTTTATTTTCCTTTGGTTTGACTCAACAACATTTCTTACCGACATTATGTATTTTGCAAAATAGGTAAAGTCTCGGTTCTTCATTCCTGACTTTTAGCCTTTCCCTACACATTAATCAGTTTGCTTTGTCTCACTGAACATTTCCTCTGTCTTCACCAATTTCTTCCTTGTACTTTCACCCTTTAAATTCACTCACTCTCCATCCTATGGGAAAGAAAAAGCTAAGGGAAGAACTTTTCTTCAATAAGCTCTCATCACTATTCATTTTGCCAGTCTTAATTGAGTTAAAATTATGTAGGTACTAAAGTCTGACTTGCTTTGCCCTAAGATTTGAGCCCTAGATTTCTCTTAGAATTTTCTGTGCAACCCCAGTGTTTGTTTGCATCTCATGTTTGTTGGCTAGAGGGTGTTACCTGGCTGGCATGTTTGGGTGCCTTTGAAGAAAAATTCCTGCAGGAATTCCCTTGTGTGAAGCAACTGAAAAGGGTGGCAATGCAGTCTGCTCTTGGCTTCCAGTAAGACCTACAGTACTGTCAGTACTAAGTTACTGCATACCAACACTCGTAATGTCGTGTCTTAATAATCTTTAATTTACTGCCCATTTTCACTATTGTCTTGCATCTGGATTGGCCAATCTGTTTATATCTCTGCCCACTGGTCCTCTTGGATGATGATGACAGGATGTTTCTTCCCTCTCTGAGTGAAGTCTAGGCAGAGAGGCAGCCAAGAAATACAGCAGTATAATACAAAGGTTACAAAATTGTCATGTAAGAAAGCAAAGCTTAAAATTTGATTGCATTCACCTGCCCATGGAGAAAGCTTTGTGAGGGAGAGACAGCATCAGCCTGTATTTTTCCTCCTGGAATAATGCATGCAGGATGATCAGGACTGAATGTCTGAGGACTTGTTACTTGTAACTTGACTTTTGTGGAAAGCCAAGAACCCTTAAAAGGCAGGAATTTGATGGAAAATGAGACAATTAAAGATTCAAAGTTCTGCAGCCTTCTGTTCTGAAAATATTTAGGCTGCTAACAACACTGCAGAGGAGACCTGTGAGTAATTTTATCTGCTTCATTATATGTTGTTGTGTTATAGGCTGTTGACATTTCTGGCATTTATTTTTATTCCCAAAACTTCATGCAGCCATATAGTATAGATAGGAGGTAGCAGCATTTGTGGGTGCTAATCCTCAGTGCCTGCCTTTGGGATTCTCCCTACCTCACCACGTGTGCCCAGAACGGCAACACAAGCCCAGTCAGTGACAACGCAGCTGCCTGGTTTGCTGTGTTGCAAACAGGAGCCACCTCCCACCTCGCCTTCACGTGCTTGTGTTGAGTTGTGACTGAGCCAGGTAGAAGATAATTCGTTAGAACATACTCTATCCTGATACGGAGAGAAGGATGTTTGTTCTTAAATGACATAGTTGCAATATTTCAGTGATGGGTTAATTTTTATTAGTATGTGTTTAGCAAGGTCTAATGAACTAAAACTGAACTGCAACATTAAGCAAAGTGCAGGTAAGAAAATTAGCTTGTCAGGGTCCTGTTACCAATGCACCAATCCTTATTAAGCCAAGGAACAACTCTACTGTGCTACAAACTGGCATTTGTGTCACAGCTAAAGTAGCCTTGTTCTCAAAAGACATAAAAATGGCCTTCTAGATGCAGAAGTGCTTTAGCTGGTCTGCTTTCTCCCTCTCCTAACTAGGTGGCAGAGTCTTCTCAGTTGAGCAAAAATATTATGGGGAACCTTTGTGCTGAATTACAAAATATTAAACACATTCCTCTGGTTTTTATGCACATACTTCCTCTTAATGCTCACTTGTATCAAGCAGGGGAGTACCATCCCATACCAGCACTGTTTTCAGAAGTCCATATAACACGTAGTCTAGCTCCTCTGTCTGATCTTTCTTCACTACTGACTTTGGAAAGTTTTTATTTTCCTTAACCATACTCCCCAGCAATTTCATGTGCCATCCAAGCAATGCATTCATTATTGAAATTTATGTGATTTAATAATTTCCTGGCACAATGATTCCAAAACATGTGGGAGGAAAAATGGAGAAGGATTTTTCCATCTCCAGGTGTTTATTTTTTCTGCCTGAATCCTTGCTCTTGACCCTTTTTGAATGTTTTTCAGTTGAGCTGCATTTCAACTGCTTGTCCAGCACAGCATCTGAGAAAGACACTGTGGTCAGACTGTCCTCCCTGCAGTTGCAGGTGGTGGAAAGGAAGCTCATTCTCAGGAATCTGACGTACCAGGTTGCTCTAGCATTTCTAGCTTCCAATTTCTGGAGCTGTTTTCCTTTCTGCCGTCTCCATAAGCTAAATAAACACTTTTTTTTCAATTGCCCGCTTTACTAATCAGTGTTTGAAATGCAATATTGAGGCCTTATCCCCACTTGAGCTAACATGCACTATGCTGGGTTTACAGTGGCAGTTTGCCAGAAGCCTGGGGGCTTCACCTGTGTCTGAGTGAGGTAAGAGGAGCAGCACAGCCAAAGCAGCTCTTCACTGTGGTATACAGCAGCATGTTGCCGGTT